TTACACAACGGGATCCCCTGTAATGCCCATCTGCTGTCTTTGACCCTACCCATGCACATTGCCTATTGGTCAGTCAGGTTGCTCATCATGGTGACAGGTCAATAGAATAGTGGGTGGGACAGGGGGATCCAGGTTAGCACATGTACCCTGGGTTTCTGAGGTATAGGGGCACCAAAGTGGGATCAGATGCAATGTGCATGCTATTCTTTGCACCACTGCATCATGGAAGAAAGGGTAGTCACATGCTCCTCTATACCTAGAAGTACTGGTTTTTGTTTTCAGTGGTTAATATGGAGCAGCAGGGCAGCAAAGAAAAGGGGAGAATGTCAGGCAAACACAGGTTCATTTTCAAGTAAAGTCTAATTCTATCTTTTTTTTTACCAAGTTTCACGTTACACCCATATTCAGGGTGGAACATAAATCATGCTCACATAAACAAGCCCCCCACTCCCAAACTGCTCCCCCTTACCAGAATACTGGGGTTTACCAAGTTTCATTTTACTCCCATACTCAGGGTAGAACATGAATCATGCTCACATAAACAAGCCCCCCCACTCCCAAACTGCTCCCCCTTACCAGAATACTGGGGTTTACCAAGTTTCACGTTACACCCATATTCAGGGTGGAACATAAATCATGCTCACATAAACAAGCCCCCTACCCCCAAACTGCTCCCCCTTACCAGAATACTGGGGTTCTTCTTCCCTGCAGGATTCTGTCTACATATAAAATTAGAATGCCTGTGTGTAGATTATAGCTTTAACAAAACCTGTAAATCAAAATACCCTAGCCCTTACCCCAGGCACACAGTCCTGATCCAAGCAATGCAAATGTACTGGGCTCTGGCCACTGAGAATAATAGCCACCCTATATTGACAGATGTGACCATTATTCTCTATGGCTGGACATAGACCTATGCAAGCCAGTGGGCTAAGTGCTACTGCCTGGGGCTCTTTTCTGAGGCATTTTTGGTGAGAGCTCCCAATTTATGTCCCTGTGAAACTCAGTATATTGTTGTGACTTGAACTACTTGTGACCTCTCTCTGGTCTGCATTCTACATATATTCTTATGGAGAATTCACTAGAGACCCAGTAACAGAGTCTTCAGTCTCCAGTGGATTCGTCAATGGAAAAAAAATGCCAAATCCAACTTGCAATGCAAAAATGGGAAATTAAATTCACAAAACACCCTGTGGATTTTGGGACAGGAAATGAGGGCACTCTGCCCACAAAGAGACACAAAACATTTTGGATGAAGTGTTCTTTGCTGTCATGCAGACTAAGGGCGGTAGCAGTTTCATAACAGAAAAAAAGAACTGCTCAAAATACCCATAACATGGAATGTGCTGAGTTTAGCCTTGGCAGGGCATGTACAAAGGCAAATAAGAGTTTCCATTGCTCTGCAAGATTGCCTAGTCAAACAGATGAGATGCTTTACAATCTAACGGCAGTTACACATTGGCAAGCTGAAACACAAGGGCCATAAATCATACTTACAGCTTTGCAGTGATAAGTAGAAGCAATGCAACGAAAGAAGATTTCTTGAGTTTGCTAGTCTGTCCGACCATTGTAAGGCCTAGATAAAATAAAGCTGAGCCCGAAAAAGAGCTAGCTAGACCTTCCAGAAAGTTCTCCAAGTAAATGGGAATCTTCTGTCCAAGTGCAAAGTTAAAGGCGATGCCTATAAATACCATAAATACAATGGGGTTTTGGAAGACACGGAGAAGTGCAAGTCCTAAGATCTTTAGCTTGCCTTGTGAAGCGACGGGATTTTCTCGCCATTTCTGGATCTCACAAAGAACAAAGCCCAACGGATTCAGCATCATGAGGGACACAGGGGCCACCAGGTATATATATTGGAGGTATTCAGGATATGTTGTTTGGTACAAGGCTTCAACTAGAATCAAAACAAACAAATGGATTATTTACAGATTAGCAATAAATCTGGGTAAAAGAAGAAGAAGATCTTGTTAGTCAATTATGTGATCACAGACGGCACAGGAAATAGAATTAACGGAGAACTATGGGGCTTTTCCCCATAGTTCTCCTTAGGGTAACGGGAGGACACAAACTAGCGTCCTCCCGTTACCCTAAGCTCAGTATACCGCGAGCTACAGCTCGCGGTATACTGAGACGCCGCAGCCGGAGCGGATCCCGACATCGATGTCGAGATCCGCCCAGCTGCGTGAGTGACAGCTGGCTCTGCCTATCTAGAGGCAGAGCCAGCTGTACCCGCCCCCTCCCCCGTCCGTACCGCCAGTCAGCGCTGAAGGATCGCAGCGGGGAGGGGGGAATCCATCCCCTTCCCTTTCACGGCAGAGAGCCGTGACAGGATCGAGAAGTGAGCGAACATCGGCATGTGTTCACTCACCTCCCGATCTACTGAGCCGACCTGTGACAGTTTCATTGTCACAGGTCGGCTAGAACTATGAGGTGAGTGAAAAGCACTCACCTCATAGTTCTCCTTTAATGGTCTAAGCCAGGGGCAGGCACTCCAGCTGTGCTAAAACTACAAATGTCATCATGCTTCTGCCTCTGGGAGTCATACCTGTGGCTATGAGAGTCTTGAAATGCCTCAGGGGGATTGTAGTTCCACAACAGCTGGAGTGCCGAGGTTGCCTACCCCTGATCTAAACAGCAAGTAATGGTAATATTGAATACTGGTTATGTAGTTCTGGGTGTAGCTGTGAGTCTGGGGGGTGCATTGAGCTCCTTGTGTCTCTACTACTTAGCACTAAAAAAAAAAAAGAAATCTGCAAGTTCAATCAGATTCCCCTCTTGCTATGGACAAGCATGGGCTGCCAGTGTCAGTAAATAAGAGCAACATACAGGCCAGGAATTTAGACACACATCCATTCTGACCCCTAATCCCTTCATGACCAGAGATTTTGCAAATCTTACCCGAGCTGACTGAAGAGAGATGCTGATTGGTTGCCATGGGAAACTGCTCCAGATTCTGTCTGCTCCGGTTTTGATAAACTCCCCCCAGTATATGTTGGTTAACTTTACAATTTACTTAATTGACTAATTTGCCTACCTAAATAATTTGTACCATGTTTTAACAAATACCTTGCTCAGGTTTTTCATTATAGGCTAACAAATGGACAAAATGTGTTTCAATTTCATATTTATTGTAACTCTAATGTCTTCTTTAAGGCCTTGTTCACACCAAGCGCGTTGCAGGAGCAGAGCAGTTACAGACCGGATCAAAACTGCGTCCAATGTATTCCAATGGTATTTTACCTGCTCTGGAACGCATGCAAACGCATCAAAAACGCATGCAAACGCCTTGGAACGCACCGAAAGCCCATTTTAATCAAAACATTTAAAAAAATATATTTTTACCAAACACGGCCCGGAACGCATCAAAAACGCGGCACAAACCACTGCACTGCGTGTGCAGAAACTCATGCAGATCTGGTCTGCATTTGGTGTGAACAAGCCCTAAACTGAAGAAAAATCAGAGAGGAAGAGGCAGCATTAGTAACCCATGGGGGTCTGCTCTATGCACATGTGCTGAAGGCAAATGCAAGCTGGCCAAACGCCAGTAGAATTTCATTTGATAATCTTTGTTTTCAGAATGTTAATTTGATTGTCCTGTGGTTCGGAAGGTCTACTTGGTGTCTGTTTTCTACCATAAATCTGATTTTCATTCAGGGATATTGGTACCTATTATTCCATGCATGTGCTAGGCACAATAGAAACCGGTTTAATAAGTCTGGATTAAATTCTTAGGAGCTTTCAAACTAAAATGAGCTGACATCAGATGATGGCAAGATGGAATGCTCTGCTGAACTATTTTGAACAACATTCTAACGGCGGAAGTGGTATCATCCTGCTGCCTGTGCTGTATGGCAGTGGAGGTGTATGAATTACAAAGATGGCTGACAGAATTATAAATACTGTCATATGTGAATTTCAACTGCGTATTTTATTTTATCCCTATAGTCCAGCTTTACACAAACTATACACAAGATTACTAGTGTACAAGATTACTTACCAATGGGATAGCCAAGTGCAAAATCATTGCTCTGCGTAGCAAATATAGGAAATAGTCCAGCTTTGCTCAAACGGGTTTGTGGATTTGCCACCAACAAAGTTAGCACACAAACTATGATGAAGACCGAGGCTTTGGCAATAACGATGCTGTAGAGGAACGACCAGTTGACGTCAGAAAAGTTTAGGACCACCATGTTTTTAAACAGCAATGCTGGAAGTGCAAACCGGGAAACATAGCTGCCTAGTCCTTTTGCCTGAGTAGGAGTTATCAAGTTGGCTCTGCCAGCAAAGTATCCACACATGATGATACCAAAACATTCCAAGAGAGCAGGAAGAAGTCTGTTTATGGACATAGTGGGACTGCCATTGGTGGTATTTGTGCTGTCGGTCATATTGTGTAAAGACAAGTTGCTCCATGCAGCTTCCATATAAGAGTCCATGTTTTCGGTTATTACTCTTAATGTCAGATCCTGTTATGATACGTGCAGATTCATGATGGCCTTTGAAAGAAATATAAATAAATATAAAATATATGCACAATAGGACCAGTCGGAGCAGAAGCAGGATAATTAGAGGAAACCCATACAAACCCCGGAAAAGCATACAAACGCTATGCACATAAAGTGTCCTTAGTGACAGCTGAACCTAGAGCCCCAGTGCTACAGGGCAAGACTGCTAACCACATAGCCACTTTACTGCACATCTTTACATAAAGCCACAGTCCTGTCAGTAGTTTTCCCTTTATTTTTTTTACAAAGTGTGAGAATTCATGTGGGTGGTGCTCTTGGATGGTGACTACAAAATTACAAACACTGTATATGTGATCAATGGAAATGTTTTCATCTTCCATTCATATGCAACTGAGTATTTAAAGGCATAGTGTGGCTTTTTACATTTCAAAAAAAAATGCACACGCATTAATAAAAAGGAAAAAAAAAAAAAAGTACATTGTGAAAACACACACACATGAAGACGGCTGTTTTGACTGGTAGCTTAAGAAACATTGCAGTCAATGGACAAATGCGCATACCAACGCACACGACAATGTGCAACATGCTTCTGCCGTGCATTTTCTGGCATTTCCATTGAAGTCTATGGGGGAAAACGAACCTGAAACTGCCAAAATAAGCTCATGTACTTTCTTTCTTTCTGCGTTTGGCATTTTGCTACTCAGGTGTGAACAGGGGCCATTGAAAATCATGGGATTTCTTGTGCTGGGCATTTAAAAGCGCTTTTCCTACTGCTCAAAAACGCCTAGGTGTGAACCTGGCCTAACAAAAGATACTGGTCAGTCTACAGACCCGGCATGCTGAGATAAAATAACACCCATGCACATGCTGCAGCCATGTTCTTATCATTTTAAACAGCAGGCGATTGCTGCTTAAAGGATAACTATGAGGTGTGATTTTCACTCACCTCATAGTTCTAGCCGACCTGTGACAATAGGACTGTCACAGGTCGGCTCAGTAGATTGGGAGGTGAGCGAACACATACCGGCGTTTGCTCACCTCTCGATCCTGTCACAGCCCTCTGCCGTGACAGGGGAGGGGCTTGATCCCCCCCTTCCGATCCGCCAGCGTTGACTGACGGAACGGACAGGGCGGGTACAGCTGGCTCTGCCTCTAGATGGGCAGAGCCAGCTGTCACTCACGCAGCTGGGCGGATCCAGACATCATTGTCGGGATCCGCTCCAGCGGCTCAGTATACCGCGAGCAGCAGCTCGCGGTATACTGTGGCGTCTCAGTATACCGCAAGCTGTAGCTCGCGGTATACTGAGCTTAGGGTGACGGGAGGACGCTAGTTTGTGTCCTCCGGTTACCCTAAGGAGAACTATGGGGAAAAGCCCTAACACCATAGTTCTCCTTTAAATACAAGCAATCCGACGGCTGTACAGCTGTCAGATCGCTTGTACGATACAGTGGTTTGTGCCCCTTCCGCCGGCGGTTTCCCAGGGCTCCACTGCGGGCCCGGCATGGCAGGTCTCTCCTGACTGATCTCTCCTCCGATCACTGGACCCGGAAGTGATGTGTATTACATCACTTCCGGTATCACTGTGCACATTCTTCGGCTCTTAGAGCCAGGAGAAGAAGCTAGGGATGCAGATCTCTGAGGTGTGTGCATGATTACAGAAGTGCATTCATTTTCACCTTTTACATTTGCATGCAGTTCAGCTTTAACAAGGATACACTCAAATTTAAAGTGTTATTAAACCCATGATCCAAAAAAAATGGAGAAGCATCATACACATACTCAACTGCCATTTCATGTTCTCCTCAATGGCCTCATTTCTGAGAGGAAGAGAACAAAAAGGTCTTCCTATGAACTAATGATGCACCAAACTTTTGGCCGCCGAAACATATTGCACTTTCGGCCGAAGTTGCGGGGCATCCCTGGTTTCTCTCTTCCCCTCTGGGTTGCTGCTCTGTGTCCCCTCTGGCACAGCGCAGCATCCAGCGGGGAGGAGAGAAACTGTCACAGGAGGCCGAGTGGGGAGGACAGCAATGTGAGCGGCCCACGTGTCACAAGAGGCCGAGCTCTCCTCCCGTACCGCTCAGCCTCCTGTGACAGATTAGGAGAGTGGTGTGGGGGTGGAGACAGCTGTCACAGGAGTCCAGGCCAATGGTGCAAGGGAGGTGTCAGCTGTCAGAGGAGATCAGCTTTCCTCCCCGCAGCGCTCGCTCAGCCTCCTGTGACAGCAAGTCAGGATGGAGAGCAGTACAAGCAGTCAGTGATCAGTGATCGCTGAGCGTTTATAAATAATTGGAGGATATCGTATGTTTACTGTGTCCCCAATTATTAATGAATGGGAAGTGATCTACATCACCTCCTGTCCATTCATGATTGTGGACACAGTAAACATTCTATCTCCACAAGTTATGAATGAACAGAAACACTCAGTTTAGAGGATTCCTGTTCATTGATCATAACAGGGACTGCAGAAAAAGAGATTGAGGACTGTGTTCTCAATCTCTTTCTCTATTTTAAAAGGGAAATATCAGGAGTCTGTTTAGACCCCCAATATTTCCCCAAAGCCCCTAAAAGTAAAAAACATAAAAAAATATTAAAAAATATAGGAAAAAAATGTTTTGGTTTCGGTCTGACATTTGAAAATGTAATTTTGGTGCACCTCTACTATGAACAGTTACCTCTGTAGCATGGCTCCATTGCCTTCCATGGGCTCCCTGGAGTCACCCTTGCATGCACGCGCCTGTGACTACATGCTATATGGAAAAAGCCGGCATACATACAGATAGCCTAGAACTGCAGTGCTGCTCCGCCCACCAGGTTTTAAATTGGCAGCTGTTACCTTGTAATCGGCCCTTGCATGTGTGATGTTAGCAGTGCGCACTTCCTGGCGGTAAGTTCAGGAAGCAGTGCAGACACTGGTAAAGCGTCAGTCATGTCTAAGGGCTTGTTCACACTAGTATCTGGTATTCATGTGCCCATACAGTGCTGAAGCACTCCATGGGGTCACATCACACTTTTTTTATTTTTGTTCGAACTTTATTGAAATGTCACAAGTGCAAACCCGTTGTGCCGTGTCTCACTGTGGTGTGCTTGAAAAATAAGTTTTAAACCATAAGTAGGAAAACTACATTTAGATTGCAGATATTAACATGGGTTGGGAGGGGTAGACATTAAAAGATAATTGAGGGTTTAATACTACTTCAATGGTATAACTAAATTATCCAGAAAAACAATACAGAGGAATTGTCATAGGATACATTTTCTGATGTGTTTATGAAACTGGAAACCTCATGTGATAATAATTACCATGTCACGATGTAATCCACATTATGTTCTTGCCAGCATATCAAGCTGCCAATAGAAACTGGCCAGCAAATTTAGAGATCTGTCTACCACCAACAATAACCTATGCATGTAAGAAAAGAATATAACCATCTATAGGCAGTGATAGATGTGATATTTACTTTAACATCACAGTGATTACAGGTGAAGACAGTGAATGATAAGCTGGTTTTATAAAGGAAATATATTTAAAGGAGAACTACTTGGAGAGAAAAATGTACTCTTCCCAATACTGCAGCTATCACATGTCGGCTCTAAAGCTTGCGAGCTGAGGGATCACAAACCGCTGATCGCTTAGCTTACAGTCTTCTCCCTGCAGAGAGCGGTGCCTATTCCTTCTCTGTTCCTTCAGTATTCTACTTGGAAGGACAGACAGGGGAGGGGGTGGGCACAGCTGGCTCTGGCTCTAGAGAGGCAGAGCCAGCTGTCAATCAGGCAGTGGGGTGGATCCCGACAATATTATTGGGATCTTTTCTGGCTGCAGTGCAGCTCTGTACCATCAGCATATAGTGGGCAATAGCCCTACCTTTATATGCCGAGTTTGGGTCACAGGAGGACATTAATAAATATACTCCTTTAACCCAAAAGAGAACGGAGACCAAAAAAAAAGGGTTTGGCTTTAGTTCTCCTTAAGTTTGTATGAAACACGGATTAGATAACCTGGCAAGTTTTTATTTAAACATAAACAGATTATGGAATCGGACACATTCTATACCATCCAACCTAAACTTTTTAGATACATAGTATACATTACTCACGTATAGCCTGCATTGCTCTACAACAATATTGCACACTCTACAAAATGCAGGTTGAATGGTTTAACCAGTTGACATCCGCGGTGTTAAACCCCCTTCCCATCCAGGCCATTTTTCAGTATTCAGCGCTGCGGTACTTTGACTGACATTTATATATCTAACAAATTACAAATCCTACAAAATAGAACACGTCATTGTGGAGAATTGGGAATGATAACTTTGGAACACTCAGACTGACTTATTTATAAAGCCAAATTGAAATAGACATTGGGGAGGAATTTATCAAAACAAATTGCAACAGTTTTAGTCTCTTAGATCATTTTTTTACGTTCAAATCTGCATTTTAACATGTGCGCCTGTTTTGAGCAGAGCTTGCACTACTTTTCCAACTGCACCTGTTTTCTTCTGCACTTGTCCTGCGGCTGTCTGAAACTGGAGCATCACCTAACAAAACAATCACAACTTAAGAAGTCCCCATGACCACTTCTTCAAGAAGCGACAGTTAAGCTTTTTGCCTGTCTTCTTTCCTAGAGTCTATTAAACCTCATTTATGAACAACATTACACTAGCATCATAAATATGGAGCAAAGTGCATCAAATATATTCCGTGCAAGTTCAAACACTCGCAATTGCTATGATAAATTCCCCACATTGTGTGGTAATCATTCATATTTACTGATGAGAAAAACAATAGTGACATAGGGGCAGACAGGAGGAATCACACACTGCATTGTGGGTATACGACACAACTAAAAGTCTTGAATACCAATGGCGGCTGGAGGTCTGGAATGCAGCGGACATGCACGAAATGTATGAAGAATACTTCACACAGCATGTTCCTGTGTCCCAGCACTGCTCTACTAGGGAGTATGGAGCTGCAGTGGGACTATACTACTCTGTACTTTTACAAACTCAAGT